GTTATTTTTACAGTAAGTGCTTAAGCAGCCGGCTGCAGTCCTTTATTTCTGCTGTTTGTTTCCCTTACGGATGTCTTGACATGTTCTGGTGCAGGTTGTGGGTTCAGATCCGTTTTCCCTCTGTTTTTCTGCCCTTCACCCTCTCAGACTGTTGCATGTCATGTCCCTTAGGTCCACGGCGACTCTCCATTCATGCATGTGATCACCAACCGCTCTGAAGGTCTGTTACGTCACTCTACGTTCCTCATGGGCTTAAGTTACACTTTCTCCCCCTGCCCCCTTCATCATTCTACTCTTTTTTTTTTTTTTTTTTTTTTTTTTTTTTTTTTTTTTGCCCCAGCCCCACACCCCCATGCCTCCTCACTGACCCAAGCTTTCCCCTCCTCTCCTGCCGTTTCTCCTGTGTTCTAGCTGACAGACTAAAGAGCAGAGGGAGGAGATGCCTCATTATTTGAAAAGACGCAGGGTTCCTACCCCTTCCCCCCTTTATCTTGCCTCCTTAACCCCCCCCCCCTCTTTTTTTTTTTTGCACCTGTCAGTCAACAACTAGACTCCATTTTACGTTTTGACCGAGCTGTCTGTTGCCTCCCCTCATGGCTCACTACATAGCTTTGTGTCAACGTGCCCTCCAACTGGAGACCTGACATACGCCGACCCGCCCTGCACAAAGCAGCAATCCTTGAAAGGTTATGTTTGTGTCCGCTAGGTGCGTCTTGAGGGGGGCTTCTCTTGCGCCCTGGCCCCTCTTGGCTGTTGCGTAACCCCTTGTTTTGTCGTGTTTCACAATGGGTATCCAGTTAATGCCGGCTAGAGGATAGTGAGTGGGAGGCCTGCAGCTTGTTTGATGTGTCCAACAGATAAGACAGGAGGGGTGGAAGGTGGTGTAAGGTTGCTGTTATCACCGGTAATAATGGCGATTGCCACGCAGTGGAAGTGTGTTTCTGTGTTTTGGTTTCTGATAGAGTTTGTATCCCATGAAGGAGGGCGTGGTCCGTGCAAGTCCGTTAGTGTGAGCCACGCTTGCTTTGCCAAATATTATCTTAATGAGACGCTTATCAGCAGAAATGAGTAAACAGGCTTTTGCCCTATTGGCTGCGTGGGAAGTTGATCAGAGTTGATCAGGTTTGAATAAAATCATTGAATCTAACCCGGTTGTGCACCTTCTCACCTTTTCAAATTGATAGTTACTGAAAGGGATTACAGTGAAGCTTAAGATGGTTTGTATGTTTTCATAAAAAAAAAATATATATACGATATATATATATATATCATTATATTATTATAATAATATTATATGATATTATTATACATATATTTATAATATTTTATCATTATTTATGTATAAAAAAAAGAACTGTAAATTTATAATAATTTTTAGTATGGCTGTACTTTTAAAAGATGAAATTGTCAAGTGAGCTGTTTCCAAACATAATATCTTTTTGTTTTACACTTGTGTAAACAAAATGACAAATAAAATCTGTCTAAAGTCTAAAAAAAGTATGTTTTCATTACTAGGAATAATCTTTATCATCCACAAAATGACTTGTTTATGAAGCACAGTAGGCATGTTTCTCTATTAATCATCATTTCATTTCCTAGCCATTCTATACTACTGTAAAATGTAAATTGTGATGTTTTATTTCATCTCTCTCTGGAATTGAGATAAGTTTAAGCAAATATCCCTTTATTTTAGGATGAAAGTATCTTCATTGCTTAGTCATAAGCTTAGGAGAAAAGAATGAGAAGATGCAGGGCAGCCTATATAGATTATAATAACAGATCATATTCCAGGTTTGATCAAATAGAACATGTGTGTAGTCGTGGTATTAAAGATCGAGGTGCATTTATATAGTAGGGCTGGACCCCATAATATCATCAGCATAGTTTATTGATCACAGGCAAAAAAAACCCCAGCAGAACTGTTTTTATGGCTTATCTCTAATTTTGACGCCTGTAGCGACTTCTAGACAGTGAGCCCAGCGCTTTTCCTCTGTACATTTTTCTGCTAAACTTAGATTAAACCATGATCAATTTTTAATCCCATTATGAAAGTTATTTATTATCAAAAGCAGCCTCATCAACCTTAACATTTATTTCATCCTGATGCACAAATTAGATCTTTTTTCCAGATACAAATTGACTTGCTTTCTTTATGCACAGTCATAAAACCGTCTTCATTTTCCTTTTATGATTTTCAAGCACTTAAGTATGGAAAAATTTGAATCGAGAATAGGGCTGCAACTAACGATGGAGGATCCTTAAGATTTTTTAGAGTTAAACCAGGTGAAACTAAAAGTTTTCCACTTGAGGAGTTCTGGATAAAGCACATTGACAGATGGAAAAGTCTTAAACTCAAAAATATTCATATATATAATATAATATAATATAATATATTTACAGTTTTGCTATAGTTATGGCTCTGGGTGGATCGCTCTTTTAGATAAAGGCATGGCTCACAGTCTCTATACTCCAGTTGATGATTCATCAATTATTTAGTTGAGGATAATTTCAATAATCGATTGATCACAATTTATCTGATTGATTGTTTCACTCCTAGTTAAGTTATTTAAGTTTCCAGATTTTATTCCATTTTTGAAATTTCAGAAAATCCAAAATTTCTAAAACATCCTGTAAACTTTTCAAATTTATGTATAACGTCGTGTTTTGTGAGAACTTTTTCAGAAACATACTTCAGTCCAGAAAAGCAAAAACATAAATCACAGCTTTTTTGGTCGTTAAAACTTTATGTATCGGTTATAAAAATCAGTTTTTAATCATCTACATCTGTGATTCAGAACTTGGGTTTTATAAATAGTACAAAGAAAGATTTTCAGTCCACCAAGAGCCAGAGGTAGTGATCCTTTTATTTTCACAAAAAGTCGTTTTGTGTCGTAATTTGTGGAACATTCAGATTCAGGGCTGAATTATTTTACAATAATTTCTACAGCAGATATTCCAAACAATATTTTGGCCTTAATGGTCCAGAATTCCGTATATATTCCATATATACGCGTCATGGAGCTTAGATCATAAAAAATTCTGATTTTGACCAATTTACCCCTCTAGTTTTGAAGTCCTCGGAGCCACAGTTTGGGAAACTGTCCAGTTTTTATGTATTGTGCATCTTCAGAATTGGATATTTAACAACATTTACACCAGAGATATTTGACAGTTCCTCAAGCTTGTTTCACCTCTAAAGCCATTAAATTTATAGCTTCATAATATCACCCAGTCATACTGTGTTTATCTAGGCTAGGCTCTGGTATTTCAGCTACTTTGCATATAAACTTTGCTTTCCGCTAATGTATCGGGCCAGTCATATGTTACCTCTAATCTCTTTATTTCCTACACCTGATGTAGATCATGGTGACCATGAATTTAAAGCTCAGGGAGATAAAAATACCTGTAAGCCTTGTTTCTAAAGAAGTGTAAATAACAGAAAAAGTTATAAAAAACAAAGTTTTTTTCTAGTCTAAGCAGAGCATTGACTGACCACTGTTGCTAACATCCAGCTGTAATAAAAATTGCTGGCATTATTGGCTTCTTTCCATTACAGGAAGTGGTTAAAGCCTTGCACTGACCCCTCTCTGGTTAGAGTTTTGTACCTGGATTAGTGTGTATGTCTGGCTAATCATCTACAGAATGAGGAAGAGAAAAACTAGCTTCAACCTCGGAATGATCAGAGGCAGTAAAAACACTTTCTAAACTGGACATTTATGGATTTCTTTGTATTTTACTGAAGAAGGTGTTGGTGTTATTTGCAGGGAGGGTTCCTAACATTTTATCACTGTCTTAAAATGCATCAACTTCAGTCAGAAGCTGACTTTGTTGTTTGATATGCATCATTATTTAGCTGTAGTTGTGTTAAATTACAATTTTCACAAATGCATGTAACAGAAATTGTTACATTTCTATAGTATAGAAATAATTTAAAACATTTCTGGTTTGGTTATTTTGTCGATTTTGTTTATTTCATCAGGACAATACAGAGAAACACTCTATACCTGTTTTATAGTTTGCTTAAATAGATGCGAAAGATAAACAGCAGAGAACAATTTTTGACACAAAATGTTTTTATTTTTTGTTTAGTGTATTCTGTCTCATCCAAACTTTTTTTTTTTTTTTTTTTTACATTAGGTTTGCAGAAGAAAATCAGTTTTGCATCCTTACATTTTCCCTAAACAACAATCTCTTCCCTCGTTGCTCTAAAATGTTGCAGCAATGAGCAAAAAAAACAGCTTTGGTAACTGTCTGCCAGTTAATTCCACTCAAATGCAAACTGTGTGAACGTGTGTTCATGCATTTCCCAGTCCAAATGCATGAGCTCTACGTGTGTTCCAGTGTTTAAGAGGTAAAGCCACTTCCTCTCTGGGGAAAGAAGAGACCGTATCGGTTTGCTTGGGTGAGACAAAGATGATGAAAGCAAATCAGTTGGCTTAGATGAAACCAGCAGAAAACTAATGCATATATTTAGTTGCTGCAGCTTTAAATCGAGGCTGTTATTGTTTAGCATACTTCTCAGCTGGAAATCTGTCTATAATTTTCCTAAATGGAAAGCAGGTCTTTGGACGAACTAAAAACTTGTCGTTGTCCAAGTTAGAAGCACAGGCTAGACAAATTAAAGTGACTGAGAACTAAAAGTCACTGTGTCTTCTTTGGCTTCATTTATCTGTCTAACTGTCTGCATCCTTTGAATAAAACTGTCCGTCCACTCATCCAATTTTTCAGATTTCTTTTTTGCAGCATACTGATTGTTTGGTCCTGTAATTATGCCTACATAGAACTGAGAAATTTAATCTTGGGAATCCCTGAGTTTTAATATTATTTTTTGTTGAACCATTGAATGGCTATGATTAAAATGACTGGTAAATTATTTTCTTGAAATGCTTTGGATCATTTTTTTATTCATTAATCATTTGTTGTGTGCCAATGAAAAGCCATTAAGCATGTTCAGAAAATGATGACTATACTGACGGCTTTCATTTTTCCTCTCCTTCTAGTTTGTCCGAGCAAGAACATCCGGAACAACGTGAACAACCTCCGCTCACTGGAGAACTGCACCATCATCGAGGGCCACCTGAAGATCCTTCTCATGTTCGGGGCCAAGGCAGAGGACTTCAAGGGCCTCAGCTTCCCAAAGCTGCGTGTGGTCACCGACTACGTACTGTTATTTAGGGTCTACGGCCTGGAGACCCTCAGCAACCTCTTTCCAAACCTGACAGTGATCCGCGGCAACAACCTCTTCTTCAACTATGCCCTGGTGATTTATGAGATGCTGCAGCTGAAGGAGGTGGGCTTGCACAGCCTCATGAATATTACACGAGGCGCCGTGAGAATAGAGAAGAATCCGGACCTGTGCTACCTGGCCACTCTGGACTGGTCCATGATCCTGGACTCTGTGGAGGACAACTTCATCGTGGCCAATAAGAACGAGCGAGAGTGCGGAGACGTGTGTCCTGGCATAGCGCAGGGCCAGCCCAAATGCACTCAGACCACCATCAATGGCAACTTCAGGGGAAGATGCTGGTCGCAGAGCCATTGTCAGAAAAGTAAGTGCTAGATCTCCCTTTCCCACCTTCAATGCTCCTTTACTGCATCTTATTAGTCATGAACCAGTCTGATAGCTGGCTGCTTAGGAAAAAAGAACAACATGGAAAATGGGCAGAAACGTTTCCACTGCTGGTACCATGTGATTCAGAGCATCATACTAAGGAAAAGAATACCTGATCAGAAATCGACTGATGTTTCATCCTCAGTGATATGTTTAATCACATTTGTAAATGTGGAAGCCAAGAGTTACGGTCGGGCCTTGCATTAGCATCCACTGGCAGGATATGTGTGGCTTTAGTTAAGGGACGGCAGGTGGAAGGAGTCAAATGAACTGTTGAATTGGGGTGTTATAGCAAGTGGAAGGTTTGAATGAGAGAACAGTTATGGGGATGGCTTTTATTTGTTCTTCTCTGTAAAAACCAGCTCTGTGATTGGTTAGTTGTGGATCTCCTGCACAAGTTTATTTCCCACTGTCTATTTAGGCATTAGTCCTCCACACCGCCGACCCGGGTTTGAATCCGACCTGTGATCATTTGCAGCATCTCTCTCCCCCCTCTCTTACGGGGGAAGTGTTGGCCTAGCGATTAGAGCAGTGCCCTTGTGCTCTGAAAAGGTTGCAAGTACCCAGTTCAATCCCCACATCCTCCACTCTGGGTCCCTGAGCAAGACCCCGCACTGCTCCCGGCGCCACACAATGGCAGCCCACTGCTCCCCAAGGGGCTGGGTTAAATGCAGCAACACATTTCTCCAATGTGAGATTGGTAAAGTTAAATTATTATTATTAGCCTTTATTCCTCATACTGTCAGGTGAAAATATATATATATTATATACATTAGTTTTTTAAGGTAATTACAGCTTGTTTAACTTTTTTAAAAATCTTTTTACTCAGAGAGAAAACTGTTCAAATGGAAACATATTCATATTTCCATGTTTACATTCTGCATTCCCTGTTGGCTCCTCGATTTGTCAGCATTTGATGTTGGGAATTTTGCACAGGAAACAGATCCTTTTTTTTCTGTTACTTCTTTGTGAACAAATGCATAAAAGGACAAATCTACGGTTCCTCGTAAAAGTATTCACACCCTATGACTGTTCCATATTTTGATACAAATCATTCAATAATGAGAAAACATTTTGATGATATTGTTCTCATATTAGACCAACAAACTTACTGCGAAGAAGGAAAACAACAGTTGAAAAAAACCAACATTGCTTTAACATGCATTTATATTCAACTTTAAGCTATAACTCACCTAAATTGTAATGAGACTTATATTGTTTGTAATCAGGTATAAACACAGCTCTTCTGCAGTGGGAAAAGAAAGAGGCCCAGCTAACATAGAAAACAGTATTTTAGTACTGTCGGTTGACACCAGTATTGAGCTTATGGCACTACATACCTCGTCCTGTTGACATATGGTAGTGGTGGAATCATGCTGTGGGGACACTTTTCCTCAGCTTGACATGGAAGCTCATTACAGGAGATTGGAAAATGAAAGAAATGTATTGGAGCCTTAAGTGGAAGAAAACCATTTTCAAGCTGCAAGAGGTTTACATTTAGGTGTGAATACTTTTGCAGTGCCCTGCATGGATGCATCCCTATGATATCAAAAATATTTTCAGTAAATAATAACATACCATTTTCCAGTTGAAAGTTCTATAGGTGCAACAAAATCCATAAATGAGCCTCTGATTTGTTCCTGTGAAACGTACCGTTCTGCAGCGCCATTTTTCTCTGCATTCATTCATTAAAGATGTTTCTTAAGGGATGAATATTTATTACTTAAAAGGCTTTGCTATTCAGCTCAAGACTCCTCCCTTTTTACCAGGACTCAATCTAACTATATAGTGATAATACTGTTTTTATATTTGGACTTATTCAGAGCTGGAGTGAGGAAGAATGTTGACTGATAAACAGGGGCGGCTGCACGCTGTGCGTCAGAGGCCATATTTACGAGTGTTTTGCCGTCTCCTTTTGCTTCGGATAGGCCCAGTGGAGCAGTTATGACGCCACGCTCTGCGTAATGCCATAGTTACGCTGTTAGGTCAAGAGCCGAGTGCCAGAGCTCAAGCCGTTTCTAGAATGTGACGCAGTGCTGGCTGCACTGCAGCGAGAGGAGTGTGTGAGTTAGTGTTATTTCTGCTGTATGTACGGATATGGGCCTATAGAAGAGAGAGCTGAAGCCCTACATAAAAAACAACACGCATATTTGTTTTACATCGAAAAATAAGACATTTCACACTGCAAATATCTGCTACCTCTAATACATTTCCAGTTTCTCTTCAAGTTAGATTTTTTTTTTTTGATGCAGCTCCATCCTCTGGCTTTATGCACCCCTGCACAATCAGTCACAAACTAACATGTTCTCAGATGTGGGTGCCTGGTGTAGAAAGGTTAGAAGCAACATTAAAGTTTATATGCGAGTGGAAACTGTGGTGTTTTTGTGTTTTTACAAGGTTCCACTTAGGTGAAAGCCGGAGGGAGGGGGAGGGCAGGTGCTCCTCTGATCCTACAGTGCTACTTATGTACAGGAAAACCACTATACAAATGTGTGTGAATATGCACATCTGTGTGTGTGGTTGCATGTGTGTGTGTTTACAATAACTCCTCTCCTAGCACTGTTTTGTCATGTTTGTATATCTGTATATACCAGCTTATGTATGCGTTTTATGCTTTGTATCAACAGTTTAGTTCACGTCACCTTTCAGATGTGGTGATCCAATTATAAAGGCGTCTTTTCAAGGAAAGCAGCCATTTTTCCATCTTATTACATATTAAAAAAAAGATTCAAATCTTTCTCGACAGAACCTATTGCTCTAGACCTAAACTGGTTTCTTTAAACTCATTCATGCTGCCTGGTACAGGACTTCCTCATTTTCCTACTCCTGTGATTCCATGGGTTTATCCATTTAAAGACCGCCCTCTCTGTGTCGCTCTCAGAGTCTGAATTATGCTAAATACTTTTGTTAAAGGTAAGGTTGTTTACCACCTGTCTACAGCAACTTTAACCAATGGTTCAGTCTGATAGTCAAGATTTAGATCCAGTTTCGTGTAAGTCATTTAAATCCCGATTATATTGTAATTGAGCTTGATTTAGTTAATCATGCACATTGATATAAACCATGTGGTGAGAGTGGAGCAGAAAGCCTCAATTTGTATCTCTGTCCATTTGTGCTGAAGATTAGGGTAAGGAGTATTTGAACAATAAAACAGAAATGGGAGATAACTCGTGGGAAATTAGTTGAGGAAAATCACAAATGTAGGAGTTCTGAGTTTGTAGGAATGTTTTTTTTTTTATGGGAAAAGGGAGAAAAACACATGGGGGCACAAAGGTAATAGATCCAATAAAAGCAGGTAAAGTATAAAGAGAGAGTAGAAGAATGCGCAGCCTTTATCTTTACCAATCCATATCGGAATATCTGGGCCACATAATTTGCAAACTTTTTTTTATCCAGTTCATTTGGAAACAACTTGCTGGTGTTAAAAAAAAAAAAAAACTGCATGTCTGTAAACCTTACAGATAAATGCATCAATATAATAATCTGCAGATTATTTTTTGTTGTAATTGAGAATGTTAGCACTTGAGAGATAATGTTGTGGTTCAATGTTATGCTTTTATCGTATGCTCAATAAATGTCATTTATTTAAATCTGCAGTAATGTGAAATAGACAGCCCACCTTACCTTATATTTGTGTCATTTATGTGCTCATTGTGTTTAGTTTTGTGGGTTTGTCATTCCCCTCACCAAATTCAGGATATTGTTATTCGTTTAGGAACTTTTATGTTTCTTAGCCCCTTTTCCTAATAATTATCAAGGCATAAAGAGATCCTAAAACTCTGGTAATGAACTAGTTACCCAAAGAGGTTATTTGTGCACCTTAGATACCGATAAGAAATCTGTCTTTGAATGCAGTTTTTAAAGAAATGAAGGGTGGATAAAAAATTCTCCTTTGAAGAAGTCTTAAAAAATAAAGAACTTACCAGTTTTTAATTTAAGAAAATTTATAAATGAAATAGTGGTAGATTGCAGAAATAGATTACACAAAGACAAAAAGCCTGAATGGGAGCAAACAACGTGCATTTCTGCTGCTTTCAGACTCATACAGCAGCCAGTACTCTGCTTGCACAACCCATGCACACATAAACATACGCACATAACGTGGAGGACAAAAGCTTTTCAGGCTAAAGTTCACTTTGCCTTTGCCTACGTGCTTTGTTATGCGCTGTAGCTGTTTTCCAGCAAATAGGGTGTTCGCTTCGAACCCCGATGACAGAAGTGTGAGAGGGGAGATAACTAATGAACTGCCCGTACCCTCGCTGAGGCCGACACATTCACTCACGCTACTCCTCTCAGATCACGGCAGACCTAAACAGGACTTCATGCGTCATCAGACAGTACTCTGTGATCCTTTCGACCAGAGGTGAATTTAAGTTGGACAGCAGCCTGCTGTAGTGACCAGGCTTTAGTGGAAGGTCCATGTGATTCTGCCAACATGGACCTATAATGGGTCACAGAGTCATGACTAAAAGTAAGGACACATTTTGATTTAAGATATTTGGTCATATTTGTAGAGGCTGTAAGAACAGTGTCAGAAACTGATGATCACAGGAATACCAGTGCTTAGAAAAACCTCACTGTTACAAATAAAATAGGAAATAAGCTAATTATTTGATGCTATTATCCATATGTCTCAACAGCTGTTCAACATTATTACAGAGCAGAGAGAAACCACCAGTGGTATTTATGAGGTCATTTATGAAAAAAAAAATGCAAAAGTTACTTTACAATTACTTAACATTTTTGATGAGCTAAATATGCTTTTTACACAGTTGTATATTTTGCAAACAAGAAGCACAGCATATCGTCGCTGTGGTAGAGGAATGATGATTTAACCAAAGGATCAGAGGCTGTTTCTCTGTGAACCAAAGCTGTCCTGGTTGCTGATTAAGTGGAAGACCAAAGTGAAGACAATTGTGAACAAAGTTCTTTACCAAT